GCATTTTGTATGTTGTATGTAGTATCTGTCGGAACCGAAAGTATGTACGTGTAGTATGTAGTATATAACAATGATTAGGTAATATATATACTAATTTTTAAGTAGTATGTACCATTTTTTGAGTATGCTCATTTTTACGTATAAATACGTATGTATTTTACAAATATAACAAAAACTATGGGCTCATATGCAATTTTTTCATGTAACTTGCTTTGAAATATCTTAGATATAGTATATAAACATATTTAAAATAATAAAATAGTATATATAGTACCACATAGTAGTATATGAGACATGTGGGGTAACTACCACTAGGTGGTAGGATGGATTTTCCCTATATATATATATATATATATATATATTTCAGAAAATTACCGATCTATTCATTAACTCTCAAAATAGTATAATGAACACCAGAACTAAAAAATACATTCAGATCCGTAGGGCACCAAACGACGACTACAAGCACTGGAGCGAGTCGAAGACGCGCCATCATCACTTGCCTCTCGCTCGTTGGAGCCGGGCAAACATTATTGTAGTAGACAGTCAGAAAGTCTCGTGCTAAGGCCTTATAGAACCAGCGCACCAGAACAACAATCGCCGCCGATGAAGAGAAGCGTAGATCAGAAGGATCCAACCTATAAACACACGAACTCAGACAAACGAAAAACGAATTCACGTGGATCCATCGAAGACAAGCGCCGGCCGAATCCCACGAGATCAGCCAGAGACAAGCCTCCGCACGTCCTCTGATGATGCTAAAAACATCAGCGAAACAGAGGCTAGGCGGGAAGGACTTTATTCCATCTACAAAAAGCCACCGCCCCCTCACATCTTTAAGCAAGACACAAAACCTAACAATACTCAAAAAAAATATAAAAGGAACCCTTTCAGCAAGGGCCGAGATTCACCGCGCCTCTATGGTCTTAAGACCACAGAAGACAAGGTAGATCGACGATGGCGCCGGCAGAAGGCAGAAAAAATAATCCTACCACGCTTATTGCAGGGTAGGAGCAGCCATCACTGTGCGTGGTTACCAGATCGTAAAGTTCGCTATACTCATGCAGCGGTCTTACAAATAATATAGCGACCCACGTGCTCTATCCTTTTAAATCACACAACTGAGGATTTTATATTTTCACAGTATATCTTTGTAACACACACGTGCTCTATCGAGCTCCTTGCAGACAACGAAACCGGCCTGGTACTGTTTATGAGAACTCGGGGCCCTAGCATCTAGGAAAGTATCAGGTGATATCAATCCTTACATGTTATCATGATACCAACTTCTAAAATTCAAATTTAAACATGTCAACAAAATTCTAAAACAGTCATGGATGTTCACAACACATAAGTGGACAACCCTTAAAAAAATTCAAATCAAAATTTGAAACACACATGGAAAAACAAAAAAGATAAATTTAGATGTGAATAATGTCATTTTTTGCTTTTGTCTTCTTTTGACACTATATATGATAGTTTTGTCTTTTTCTCATTCTCCATGTGTATGTTGAATTTTGATCTGAAGTTTTTAGAGGTTGTCGACATATGTATTGTGAATATCCATGATTTTTTTCACAACTTTTTGACATGTTTAAATTTAAATTTTGGAAGTTGGTATCATGGTATCATGGTACCATGTAAGGGTTAGTATCACGTGATATTTCGCCCCTAGCACTTTGCAGTTGGCTAGTGAACAAAGCGTCAAGCAAATCGCCGAAGTCTTACCGTGTGTGGTGGCGATGTTTTCTTTATGGAGGGTCATCCCCGGCTTCTTCATCTGAATGATGCATGCAATCATATCATTAAGCAAAATATTTAAAAATGGTCTGAGAATATAACCTCCAAAGAAGAGCAAAAATAACATGATGAAGTGATAAAAAAGTTGCCACAACAGACGGAAATAGGTCACGATGACTAAACATCTAACCTATTATTGACCGTCATCCAAACCGGTTGTAAGTATCCCGTGCTACCATCTCCTAACGATTGCATCCAATAGCCATATACTCATTAGCTTCCGCATAACTGAGTAACAACCACTTACGGATCCAAGTAGTGGCTCTGTATATAACCTACAAAAAATCTATAAGAGTTTTTCTGTTAAAAATCATGTCATTTCTGTTGTTTCATATAGCCCAAAGTAATGTGCACACTCCTATCCAAATATGTCCTGCAGTACTTGGCTCCACTCATCCAGCCACGTCCCAAATAACGTGTAATACTAGTTGGAGGGCTAATATTAATAGCTATATGAATCATACACCATAGAAGTTTGGCAAGAGGACATTTGAGAAAGAGGTGTTTTATGGTTTCATCTTGATTACAAAAACAACATCGTTTACTACCCTCGCATCTTCATTTGGCCAAGTTATCCTTAGTCAGAGTTACTTTCTTGTGAACAAATCACATTAAGATTTTGATTCTTAAAGGAATTTTAATCTTACAAATATGAATTGATTTCGGAATTGGACTAGAATCAATTAAGTCTAAATACATAGACTTGACGGGGAATATCCCATTCACAGATAACTTCCAATGAATCGAATCTGGCTCATCAGAGAGATGAACGGCCATCAACCTCCGCACAAGATGTAGCCAACTGTCTCATCAGTCACCTACTAGTGACCTCCTGAACTAGATATTTAAAGGATCTGACTGTAATATTGTAGCAATATAAGCGTCCTTATGTTGCACAATATTATAGAGAGAAGAATATTGTGTGGCTAGTGGTGTCTCCCCTAACTAAGTATCTTCCCAGAATCTAGTGTGTTACCGTCCCCAATTATGAATTTAGACTGTAATATTGTAGTAATATAAACGTCCTTACGTTGCACAATATTATAGAGAGAAGAATATTGTATGGCTAGTGGCGTATCCCCTAACCAAGTATCTTACCAAGAATCTAGTTGTGTTACCGCTCGCGATTATAAATTTAGTTCTATGAAAGAAGTTTTCTTTCGTCCTTATTAGCCCCTTCCAGAAAGACGGCTCATTGGATCTTACAAGTATCTTCTCAGAATCTAGTCGTGTGGTTGTGATATTAATTGTGTAATGAAACAAGTTTATTCGTTCTTTCATGTACTTTCTACTTTTCAAAATACTTGTCGTGATTTTAATTTGAGTTAGTACTTATTATATATTTGCAAGGAATTAAAAGTTGCGTGCAAAGAAGAAGAAGAAAACCTCACGTATGCAGTTTTTTTAGAGAACGTCGGCATTTATTGATTAAGCAAACAAGTTACAACGAGTCTCCCGGATATAATCCGGAGCAGAATGAAAAATACATAGACTCGAAGAGTTCAGACTAGATCTAGCTAAAACATGAGCTAAAACATTGCGATGCTGACGAACATGCTTGAAAGTCACAGACGGAAGAGCTCCAGTTGTCATCTTGAGATCAGCAACAATTGATCCCACAAAGGAGTGGTCCCGGGAGGAAGAATTCAGCTTTTGCACCACAGAGAGGCAGTCTGAATGAAAAATCACATCAGGGTAGTTCTCCTCCCGTACCAGTCGCGCCGCCCGTCGAAGAGCCCATGCCTCCGCCACCTCAGGATCAGTAACACCAATCAAGGGTTTAGAGGCAGCAGCTATGCATTGACCGGAGTGGTCCTAAACCACCACACCAGCGCAAGAATTACCAAGCTCCCATGAGACAGCAGCGTCCGATGAAACTAACAGCGTACCTGGCAGCGGCGGAGACCACATAGAGCTAGAAGCAGGGGTCTCACGCCTAGTTGCAGGAGTAGGCTTGTATAGGTGCTGGAAGATCATATCTATATAAGCTCAAGCCCTTGCTGTCGTGCGTTGGGGGTGAGGAGCTTCAGGTTCGTTCCTTGCAGAGTTCTGGGCCTCCCATATATGCCAGATAGTGACAGTCATTATGGCAGCATCGCGCTCGGAGCCGTGGGAGAGAAAGTCAAACAACCACTACTTAGGCGACGCAAAGGATGAGCGAGACGGCTTGATCCCCATGGACTCTTAGATATCATCCCAAACTGCTCAAGCATGTGCATAGAACAGCAAATCATGTTCAACACTCTCCTGCCGGCCATAGAAACAGCAGTCCGTCCGCGTCGGAACCTGGTGGCGTTGCATTTTCTCACCCAAAGGCAAGTAGTTATGAGCAAATCTCCAAAGCACAATCTTCATTTTGTTATGAGCCTTGACCCTCCATAGCTCCTTCCACAATCTTTCCTATGACTGCCAATTAGAGTGTTGGCCCCTGCCAATGCAGCTGTGGGCTGTCAGGAAGCCAGACGTCCTAGCCATGTTATAGGCAGATTTAACAGAGTACTCGCCCAGTTTGGATAGTGAAAATCAGTTAATGATATAGGCAAATCAGTTAGGACACAGTTTCACTAGGTGGTAATGATAGTGAAATCTCTAAATCTGTTAATGATATCCTGGATCTTGAAGTGGAACGCGCTTTAGAACTGATTCGAAACTTAGCAGCGGTCAAACCTATGAACGATTCTGACATAGATGCGTTGGGAGTCAGGGTGCTCGATAATTTTTGTGCGGATCTTGCCCCATCCCTTCCCGAGACAGAGGAGGATGATGGTTCTATATCCCTAAGGGACACTACCCCTATCGAGTCTCAGGCAGTTAGGTCCACGGAGCCCGGTTGTGAGGACCGGGTGGAGGATCAAAGCAAGCCTAAACGCAAGTGGAAGCGAAAGATTTATCCAGCTTCGGCGGTGTGCAGAAGTGCTAGGAACCGTACTACTAAAAAAATCATGATGAAATATGAGAGGAATCTTTTGGAATAGCAGAGGACCGACAGACTTGGCTAAAAGAAGGTTTCTAGTGGATGCTTCTATCGAGCATATGTTGGATTTTATCGCCCTCTCTGAAACTGGAAGAGATAATTTCTCTCCCCAGTTTCTAAGTACTTTATCAGGAGGTGTCGATTTTGATGGCATTGCCTACCTCCGAGAGGAAGATCCGGTGGGATCTTACTTGGGGTTAGATGTGAGTCACTGGAAGTCCGAAGTGTTGTTATGGGAGATTACGCCGTCAAGTTTCGGGTTAGATCGAAGGCCGATGGGTTTAATTGGGCACTGGTGGCGGTATATGGCGCCGCGCAGCCAGAACTCAAACCAGATTTTTTTTGGCGGATCTTGTTCGAATCTGCGGTTCTGAGCAGCTTCCAATCTTGGTTGGGGAGACTTTAATATTATTAGAAGGAGAGAGAAAAAGAACAATGATAACTTTGACGGCAGGTGGTCGTTTATGTTTAATACCATTATTCAAAGTTTGGATGTGAGAGAGATAGAGCTTTCGGGTAAAAAATTCACTTGGGCTAATACTTGCCAAACCCGACGTTTGAAAAGCTGGACCGAGTCCTCGCGAGCGTCGAATGGGAGCAGAAATTTCCCATGGTAACAGTCCAAGCGTTATCGCGCACAATCTCCGACCACACCCCTTTGTTGGTGGACTCTGGTGAGGCAACACATGTGGGGAATAAAAATACCTTTTCTTTCGAATTGGCGTGGTTTGAAAGAGAAGGTTTCTTGGATCTGATAGCCAGGTAATGGGCTAAAGATGCGGGACTGAGGACTTCTGTTGAAAGATGGCAAAATAAGATAAGACACTTAAGAAGTTTCTTACGTGGGTGGGCTAAGCATTTTAGTGGGATTTATAAGGTTGAAAAGGAGAGGCTCCTTACACTTATTCAGTCCCTAGATTTAAAAGCCGAGTCCACATTTTTAGAGACCACGGAGCTACATGCTAAAGTAAACGCGGAGATGAGATTGAAAGAACTCCTGTGAGAGGAGGAATTAAAGTGGGCATTGCGAGCTAAGGTTCACAAAGTTGTCCAAGGGGATGCTAACACTCAATTCTTTCATATGATCACCAATGGCAAGCACAGAAAGAAAATAATCTTTCAGCTTGAGCAAGACGAGGGGACGATTTTAGGACAGGAAAACCTAAAATTATACATAACCAATTACTACAAGCAGTTGTTTGGGCCTCCGGAGGATAATTTCATATCCTTGGATGAGTCCAGGGTCGAGGATGTTCCTCAACTTGCTGCGGGTGAGAATGATATTTTGACCGCCCCATTTTCGGAGAAAGAGGTGTTTGAAGCTATTTCACATATGAAGAATAATAAAGCTCTAGGGCCGGATGGATTTCCGGCAGAGTTTTATAAAATATGCTGGCATATTATTAAAGAGGATTTGATACCGATGTTTCATGATTTATTCTCTGGACAGCTTCAGTTGTTTCATCTGAATTTTGGAACGATAACTTTGCTTCCTAAGAAAACAGAGGCCGTGAGAATTGAGCAGTTCAGGCCGATCTATCTTCTTAACGTAAGTTTCAAAATTTTCACCATGGTTGGGACTAATAGACTCACGCAGATTGCGCACTCTATGGTGCAGTCGTCCCAAACTGCTTTCATGCCGGACAGAAACATCCTAGAAGGGGTTGTGGTCCTTCATGAAACGCTCCATGAAATTCACACAAAAAAACTAGACGGGGTTGTTTTCAAAGTGGATTTCGAGAAACCGTACGATAAAGTCAAATGGCCATTTCTTCAACAGGCCTTGCGTATGAAAGGTTTTGATAGGGCCTGGAGACACCAGGTAGAATCTTTTACGCAAAAAAGGAGTGTTGAATTAAAGTGAATGACGACATAGTTCACTACTTTCAGACACATAAAGGCCTGAGACAAGGAGATCCGATGTCACCTATTCTATTCAACATAGTAGTCGACATGTTGACGATTCTAATAGGAAGGGCTAAGGATGATGGTCAGGTAGGTGGCCTGGTTCCTCATCTAGTTGATGGAGGTGTGTCTATCCTACAATACACCGATGATACTATCATCTTTATGGAGCATGACTTGGCAAGAGCGAGAAACATGAAGCTGGTGTTATGTTTATTCGAACAATTGACCGGGTTATAGATTAACTTCCATAAAAGCGAATTGTTCTGTTTGTGAAGAGCTAATGAGGAACAAGATGCTTACAAACAATTGTTCGGGTGCGAATTGGGGTTTTTACCTTTCACGTATTTGGGTATACCAATTCACCATCGTAAGCTGAGAAACAGAAAATGGAAGTGCATTGAGGATCGATTTGAGAAGAAACTGAGCTGCTGGAAGGGCAAGACGATGTCATACGGAGGCTGATTAATTCTTATTAATTTGGTTCTCACGAGTATGCCCATGTTTCTCTTGTCCTTTTTCGAGGTACCAGTTGGAGTTCGGAAAAGGCTGGACTTCTATCGATCCCGCTTCTTCTGGCAGAGTGATCAACTCAAGAGAAAATATAGACTCGCTAAATGGGATATTATTTGTCGACCGAAAGACTAAGGGGGTCTAGGTATTGAAAATCTTGAGGTGAAGAACATATGTCTTCTCAGCAAGTGGTTGTATAAGTTATCTGTAGAGACGGAGGCGACATGGGCGCAGATTCTGCGTAATAAGTACCTTCATTCCAAAACTTTGTCCCAGGTGACAGTGAGGCCGACGGACTCGTCTTTTTGGAAAGGACCGATGAGAGTTAAATCAGTTTTTTTCAATAGGACAAAGTTTATAGTCGGAAATGGTAGCACTACGAGATTCTGGGAGGATACATAGCTAGGGGAAACACCCCTCGCGCTTCTATATCCTTCACTTTATAGCATTGTTCAACGAAGAGACGCTTACATTGCAACAGTACTTCAGTCCATTTCTCTCAATATTCACTTCAGGAGGACGCTAACCGGAAACCGTTGGGAAGTCTGGCTCCATCTTGCGAGGATACTGATGGATATTTAGCTTTCTGAACGGCCCAATCAGTTGTGCTGGAAGCTGACTAGGAATGGAGAGTTTACGGTTAAATCCATGTATCTGGATGTTATCAATTCTAACTCTATTCCTAGTTCGAAACATGTTTGGAAAGTCAAAGTACCTTTGAAAATTAAAGTGTTTATGTGGTTTGTACATAAACAAGTCATTTTAACTAAGGACAACTTGGTAAGACACAAGTGGATAGGATTTACAAGATGTAGTTTTTGTGATCGGGATGAATCCATCAAACACCTATTTCTTGACTGCCCTTTGGCAAAAAAAATTATGGCAGACGGTTCACATAGCCTTTAACATTACTCATCCGAATACTATCAGCACGTTATTTGAGACGTGATTTGACGGGATAGATTCCGAAATAGCAAGATACATTCATGTAGGAGTATGTGCTTTACTATGGGCAGTATGAAACTGCAGAAATGATTTGGTCTTTAACAGAACAACAAATATTCATTTTTTGCAGGTTATCTTCCGAGCCACTATGTTGATCCGTATGTGGTCGCTACTCACTCCGACGGAGGCCAGGGAGCGTATGGTTACTGGATCTATCCGATGGGAGAAGGTAGCACGGGCTATTTTTAACCTGTTTGGATGACGGTTATGTAATAGGATAGGCAATTAGTTTTCCTATCTTTCTTGTGCCAGCCGGTTGTGACTTTTACTTTTATTTTTTCTGCTCTTTGTGAGCAATTTTTGCTCTTTTGTTTGAGACATCAAGACTTGTGTTGAACATATTTGCTTATTAATTAATTTGGCCGTATGTATCGTTCTGATGCAGAGGTCGCGGATCTCCCTTTTTCGAAAAAAAAAATCGCCCAGTTTGGTAAATGGCCAGCGAGCAAAATCAGAGCCACCAAAACTACAGATTGAAACTTGGAGGATTTTGTTGGCCACATCATCCGAGAAAAAGGCCCTCGCCGAATCTTCATTCCAAGTCCCACTCTCCTCATCAATCAAACAGTGGACCTTGGCCGAAACAGGTATGGGGTAAAGGGGCCGAAGTAGTGCTGGAGGGATCGATCAAACTCTCCTCATCAATCAAACACTCCTCACGTACGCAGTTATGCCACGAGAGGCGCGTTAAAGGAATATCTCTATGCAGGCATCAGGATCTTGTTCTACAAGGACCAGGGGCGGACCCACGTTCATGGGAGTGGGGGCCTAGGACCCCACTCAAAATATGAAACTTCAGTGATATTTCTTTGAAATTTCAGAAATTTTTGCCAAAACTATGTGAATTTGTACAAAGTATGCCCCCACTCTCATAGTTTGCCCCCACTTAGAATAGTTTCTGGGTCCGCCCCTGACAAGGACCATGTTTGTTTGACAAGGAAATATATTCTTGGCGAGGAAGAGAAGTCAATCGTGATAAATCAGGTGCTCAATCTAGTCTAGCCATGTCTATGTTGATAGTCTCTGTTGTGTGCTCAAAAGCACCGTGGATTGCTACGTAGTACTATATATCAACCCACGTGTCGTTATCTAGAAGCCATCTTCTCAAAATGAAAGACGTTTTGTCTAGAAGCCAGCCAGCCCCGTGCGGATATGCCGTCGATGTCGACCAGCAGCTCCATGCGTACGACGGCTTCCCAACAGCCGGAGTCCATCCAGCATGGTCCGGGGCTCTACTTGCACGCATCACGGCTGATCTCACAGGCGCGTGGGTCACATGCATGCGCGTGGCCAGCAACCCCAAGTTTTACGTGCCATGGTCAAAGCGCAGCCGCGAACGGCATATAAATACCCACCTCCCCCGACCAGAGTCTCACAACGGAAACAAACACATTTCCCGGTCTCAAACTCACAGAAGCAGAAGCGTACGTACAGTACAGATCGCTGTTCCTGAACCCTGAGTGACCACCGGTCCACCATGGGTCTTGTCTGGATGGTGGCGGCCGCCGTGGCGGCGGTGCTGGCCTCGTGGGCGTTCGACGCGCTGGTGTACCTCGTGTGGAGGCCGCGGGCCATCACCCGGCAGCTCCGCGCGCAGGGCGTCGGCGGTCCGGGCTACAGGTTCTTCGCCGGGAACCTCGCCGAGATCAAGCAGCTCCGCGCCGACAGCGCCGGCGCCGCGCTGGACATCGGCGACCACGACTTCGTCCCCAGGGTCCAGCCGCACTTCCGCAAATGGATCCCCATCCACGGTAAAAAGCCGAGCCTGTAGATTCCTCTCCTCTAGCAGATCTAGTTCGTGATCTCACGCCATTTCCCGCTTGCAGGGCGCACGTTCTTGTACTGGTTCGGAGCCAAGCCGACACTGTGCATCGCCGACGTGAACGTGGTGAAGCAGGTGCTCTCCGACCGCGGCGGGCTGTACCCCAAGAGCATCGGGAACCCGCACATCGCCCGCCTGCTCGGCAAGGGGCTCGTGCTCACCGACGGCGACGACTGGAAGCGCCACCGCAAGGTCGTCCACCCGGCCTTCAACATGGACAAGCTCAAGGTACGCCAGCTCCAGCGCACACGCGTTGACGTCTGTGTCTTGTTTAAGCATGCCCAATACGTATGACTTGCGCTAACTGTTAGTATTTGTGTGACAGATGATGACGGTGACCATGTCCGACTGTGCCGGGTCAATGATGTCCGAGTGGAAGGCAAAGATGGACAAGGGCGGCAGCGTGGAGATTGACCTGAGCAGCCAGTTTGAGGAGCTAACCGCGGATGTCATCTCCCACACGGCATTCGGAAGCAGCTACGAACAAGGGAAAAAGGTCTTCCTCGCGCAGAGGGAGCTCCAGTTTCTTGCCTTCTCCACCGTTTTCAACGTGCAAATCCCATCATTCAGGTAATGCATCTTCTTCTTCTTCTTGTACCATTATTGGTCCGAATCAACTCACAACATACATTTTCACCAAGCAGAAATTAATCTATGTGTGTTTGTGGAATTAATCAGGTACCTTCCAACTGAAAAGAACCTCAAAATATGGAAGCTTGACAAGGAGGTGAGGACCATGCTGATGAACATCATAAAAGGCCGCCTTGCCACCAAAGACACCATGGGCTATGGCAACGACCTCCTCGGGCTTATGTTGGAGGCGTGTGCGCCGGAGGACGGGCAAAATCCGCTTTTGAGTATGGATGAGATCATAGATGAGTGCAAGACATTCTTTTTTGCCGGGCATGACACCAGCTCGCATCTGCTCACATGGACCATGTTCTTGCTGAGCACGCACCCCGAGTGGCAGGAGAAGCTCAGGGAGGAGGTGCTAAGAGAGTGTGGCAACGGTATTCCCACCGGTGACATGCTCAACAAACTGCAGCTGGTCAACATGTTCCTACTAGAAACTCTCAGGTTGTACGCACCTGTATCGGCCATTCAGAGGAAGGCGGGTTCGGATCTCGAGGTTGGTGGCATCAAAGTGACCGAAGGCACGTTCCTAACGATCCCCATCGCGACGATACATCGCGACAAGGAGGTCTGGGGAGAAGATGCCAACAAATTCAAGCCTATGAGGTTCGAGAATGGAGTGACAAGGGCCGGAAAGCACCCCAATGCATTATTGTCTTTCTCCAGTGGGCCGAGGTCATGCATAGGGCAGAACTTTGCAATGATCGAGGCCAAGGCCGTGATCGCCGTGATTCTTCAGAGGTTCTCATTCTCCCTATCACCAAAGTATGTCCATGCCCCCATGGATGTGATCACGCTGCGGCCTAAGTTTGGGCTTCCCATGATCCTCAAGAGCCTAGAGATGTAAAAAAATGTGTATGGTGTTAAGTATAACACAAGGTTTTTGTATTATTTGACTGGAGTTTAGTTATGTTGCGCACTAGATAAGCTTGTAAAATTATCGATGTATAATGTTTCCTATTTGTAAATATAAATAATAAAGTGTTTTATTAATAAGTTCTTGATTTTTCTTACCATCAGCCACCTTTATTTCCCCAAAGCATAGTCACTATCTATAGATAAACAAAAATTGCAAATTCCTTTTTATCAATCCTGACATGCAGGATGGAAAAGATCCATACAATTCAGTCTTACTTCTCCACTTTGGAAAATCTTCCTCAAATTGCACACAAGGAATAAATGCTATTGCTATTTTTCTAACCAAACAAATCATTTATCACTCATTTTATTTAGAGTAGATTTTTCTACGTTGATTGCAATTACCAGGACTTCATAATTTTTAGGACCGTTAAGGATCGCGATCCCTAAATGATGCTCGTTACGACAAGAGGAGAAAGCTTAAGTGTGGTTCAGACATTTCATCAAACACCTCATGTGTATAGATGGTGAGAACAGAGCAGCACACACCTCCCACACGCCGGCCGGCCGGCCAAAAAACAGAGGAGTGAGCGGGCAGGGGCGAGCATATATAGGCATCTCTTTAGTCCCGGTTGGTGTCTAGAACCGGGATTGAAGACGTCTTCAGTTTCGGTTCTAGACACCAACCAAGACTACAGGGGTTGCGCCAGGAGCGAGGCCCTTTAGTCCCAATCCGTGTCTGGAATCGGGACTAAAGGGGCCTGATGAACCGGGACTGGTGCCCGCCGAGGCCCGGCCGGCGTTCTGGCTGATATCCCGGTTTGTAACACGACCAGGACTATTGCTCCGAACTGGTAAAAACCAAAGCCCTGTTTCCTACTAGTGCGAGCATGTCATATAACCCAAAGAGTGACAATAATCCTGACAAAATCATCATATGGCAGACTATTAATGATTGCAAAAATCCATCATTTTGCATCCGGTTCTTTACTCCTTTCCATAGCTTCAACCAGGTTCGGATCTTCAAAAAGAAAAAAAAAACACTTCTTTGCAGAAGCAAAGGCAGAACCAGAACATTCTAAACAAAAGGGTACAAGCCAGAAGGAAACAACAACCATGGTTAGACCAAAATTTTGTAGAAGTGAAAAAACAAATTTGATCTTATGTACTACTCCCTCTGTTTACAAAAATAAGATGTTCTAACTATTTTTTTGAATCGGATGTATATAGACATGTTTTAATGTGTTTATTCACTATTTCAGTCTGTATATAGTCCTTATTGAAATACACAAAACATCCTATATTTGTGAACGGAGGGAGTTCCTTTTATATGTAACTAGATAATACCCCGCACGTTGTTGCGGGAATATTTTGTAACATATCTCAATGTGATTCATTGTATGAAACATATATAAAAGGATAAAATTGAAACTACATATACTTTATTATGTTTGATCACTATATAGTTGTAAAATGTTTATTAAATATAAATAGAATAATAGAATAGAAATTCGCATGTTGAGATAGATCTTTTTTCATGCAGATTTCATGATGAAGTGGCATGCTTGCATGTTGCGAGACATATGATAGTGAACGTGGGGCTTTTCTCGTGCATGTTGTGCGATGATCTGGCATGCTTGCATGTTGAGAGAAATAGTTAGTGGGGGCTAGCTATTTAGATATAGAAGATAAGTATTCCTGAGCATTTTGCTTGACAAATAGTTCTTTTTTCAAGTGTTCATGGGACATGCAGCTTACTAGTGTTATGCATAAAAAAAGAGGGAATGGAATTTTCGGCTCTCAATCGTTATTAGAAGTTTATAAATGGTTGCTCGACTCTAAAAAGTTCCTTGGACTGTTTTGAGTGGGTTTGGTGATGATGTCACCTGATTTTTAGT